GGAGGCTTAGAAGTGAGCCTCCGGAACCTGCCACCTCGGCAGCCCTCAAACCCTTCTCGGCAGCTGGCAGGCCAGCCAGCAACGTTAGGCATTTTGGACCGCCCCCAAACCGTTCTCGGCAGCTGGCAGGCCTGCCTCTTCTCTTCGCCTGTTCCAGGCCTGCCTCTTCTGTTCTTATGGACTTCCGAAAGCAACGTTAAGCATTTTGGCCCGGCTTCAAACCCTTCCCAGCGCCTTTGGCCTACTCCTGCATCGCAGCCTTGCCTGCGTCAGGCGGGAGCCTGGGGAGGGAGCCTCTGGAACGTGCAGCCCGTGCACTGCAGCCTTAGAACTGAGCCTCCGGAACCTGCCACCTCGGCAGATGGCAAGGTTCAAATCAACAAGAAGCGAAGGGTGGACGCCAAGTTTGTCAAGTTCCCGGATGACAGAGAACCGCATGATGTTGTCCCAGCTTTGCCGGCTGATGTTGCGGGGATGGATGACGGGGTCTTGAGAAATTCAGACCAAAGAAGGCTTGGCAAGGAGACAGAGAATGGAGAACAGAAGGCTGATGGTAAGAGCAAGAGCAAACCAAAAGGCAAAGGGAAATCAAAGGCTCAGAAGCCAAAGAAGAGTCCAAAGAAAGAACAGAAGCCAAAGAACCCTCCCAAAGCCAAAGACCAGCAGAAGAGAAAGACAGCTGAAGAGATGGATGGGAAACCACCAGCCAAAGTTTCTCAGAAGTCTGCCCGTCTTGTCACTGAGGAGGAGATCACGCAGTACAAGCAGAATCTCTGGTGGTTGTTCAATAAATTGTTTGTTTCCATGTAAGGTGGACTTTAGTACTGAGTACAAGGTTATCTTGCAATAAGTTTTTCAGATTTCCAAATATCTTGCAGCATGTGAGGAAGATGAGGCAGAATCCAAATTTTCAAGTTGTTCCCTATTGGACGCGTCTTCAAGTTGGGGTGAAGGTAAAGGTGAAGGGCGGCTCTGGCAAGCAGGTGTGGGCTACTACCTCTTTCACGCCAGCATCTTTTCCACAGAAGATGGAGCTGGCAAATTTGGTGGACACTTGCTTTTGCTTGTTCAGAAACGGTTGGACTTTTGGAATGTGTGTAATGGACTGTGTAGCCTGTGTAGCTATGTTAGTTTGAAGTTCGACTGAATGCATTGAGTTTGAGACCACAAAAAAAAGACAATTAAGGTCGACTATTTGGACTCACCGTTAGGCAGTGCTGAGGGCGTTGAAGACTTTGTACGCGAGACCTTGGGCAATTGGGCGCTTGCGAGCTCGAGAGCCCGTGAGAGTGCATAGGGTCTTGTGAGGCCTTTGATCTTGCATAGCAAGGTATCTGGCTGAGTTTGTAAGGGGCTGGGGTGTGGCGACTACAAGTTAACATGCGTGGGTTGGAGTATCTATATATATATATATTTTTTTTTGAAGATATGGCACTGCAATGGTTCTGCATCTTTTGTTGAGCTGCTCACGCGTGCAAGGTGTTGCCAGTACATTGGGGTCAAGTCATGGTATAAAACCATGAGAACGCAATTCCAACATGATCAAAAATGAACACAACGCTCGAGCTGTGTTAGTCAATGTGTTGTTATGTGCAGAAGGATAGCGGCCTCACCAGGCCACAAAGCATTTTTTCTGTTGAAATACTTGTCCTTTGTTCTGAGGCCAATATGCCTCGAGGATGCAAACGTCGGTGGCAGAGCTCTGATTCTGAAGGTGCCAACCCGCATCCTTGTGATTGTTTAAGAAATCTGCTGCAAGATTGAGCTGTGTGAAGATTTGTTGCTATGAGTTGTTCTCAGATTTGTTCAGGCCTCCAGTTTCAGGTAGCTGAAACACAAAGCACCCGAACCTTTGCTCACATACGCATGAGCGTGTAAGCATACAGCCTCATGCCAGCTCAAGCCATGAACTGCTGGTCCTTGTGCTCTGTGATCCCACGCTTGTATAGGGCCAATGTCCCATATGCCTCTTGGGCCCAATCCGTTGTTTAGGAATCAACCATCTTGCAACCTGCGCGCTTGAAGCTTTTGCAAGACATATATTCATATTGAGCACTTGTAAACAAAGACGGTGTCAGGAGTCAGCAGTGTCATCCCTCTGTTGTTTGTTTCTTTTGCTGGCTTAGGCCCTTGCTGTCATTGTCATTTTCATCTTGAGCACTGAAGGAGTTGATCTCCAATGGGTTTCTCGTCCTACCTGCACATGCCTGTTTGTGTTGGAGCTTCCTGTAGGCTTGGTGAAGGATTCAGCTCAATTAGTCTGCTGAGGCGTTTCGATTTGTGGAATTCTTTGCAGGGGATTCCAATGTGACATGGAGCCTGAAACGTTGTGGGTTTCCTGGAATCAAGTTTGATTATGATTATGGTGGCCGCTACAACAACATTTTTGAGCCTGCGGGCTTTGCGTAACCTTGTTGCAAATGGAGTGAATGTGCGTGCGCATATTTGTTCTGTGCCCGAGTCTCTTCGCATTGGCTGAGGTGTGCAGTTTTGGCAATTCTTCGCTTACACCCATGTAGCCTAGTTGTGCTTGCTCCGATCTGCAGTGGTTTTTCCTTCATGTGCAGCCACCAAGCGCAGCGCTTTTTCTATGCGCCAGAAGGGGACGAATCCTTTTGGTGGGTTCGAAGCGGAAATATCATGTGCAACCGGGTGATTCTTTTGATATGGTTGCTGTCTGCATTAGGGCATGTGTGGATATTGGAGCAACCTGGATCAGCCAAACTTGGCGACATGCCTCGCTTTCAAACATTTTGCCGGCAGATATGCTTTGTCCCTCAGCTGAGTGAGTCTGTCAGTGTTGTTGCTGTGGCTTGTCTTGTGCAATTCGTAATTCGTAGTATATACCATTGTATATACATATTACATATATATATATATACCTACCTGTCTCACGGGTGTTGGAAAAGCTCCTGAGGTATTTAAGCAACCAATATGGATGCGAAAGTATGGTGTGAAGAGTTGGAAACGAACCATGCTGTGGAGCAACTCGTGCCATGTGCAAAAACTGGACTTGGGCAAGATTGAACAAAGCATGAGGGAAACTGCGATCCCTCTTGCACATGTGTATGTTGACAAGCATGGAAAGAAAAGATGCTGTGGAAAGAAGAAAGTTTTGAAAGAATCACAGTCGCTAGACAAAATAATCAGTTGTTCTTTCATGGAATGTGCTCGTGCTATAGTTTGTAACATTGCAAGCCAGTCAAAAAGCCCTTTGCATCCCAGAGTAAGGTCATACACAAAAGCATTCGGGTACAAGTTGGCTTCCCTTTTGCCAAATATGCATGAAGGAGTATTTGGATTTCGTACAGCGCAGGACAGATCATTTGGTGAGTGAAACCATTGTTTCTACCAGTTGACAAGTTTGTATCTTGGGTTTGTGCTCAAGCCTCAGGACGTCAGTGAACAGTCAATATCTTCATCTATTGAGTTCATGGCTAAGACGGATGACTATTGGAGTGATGCTGACATGGTCTCAGTAATTCGCTATCTCAGGAGGAACAAAGCTTTGCAGGTTCCTGATGAGATAAAACCTCTTTTAGGCATGGCTGGCTGATGTAAAACTGTTTTCACCCATAGAGCAGTATCATACGCTTGCCCACAGAAGGAACACTGTAACACTGGTCCTGCCATGTCGATCCACAAGAGGTTGCGATCGCTTGCTTCAGAACTGTGGGATACGGACTCCGATCTTTTAGATACTCCGTTGTTTGCAGTTGGTGAACCTTCAAAGCGCAATCAATGTGGGAGTTGCTGCTTAGCGGAGACCACCATCAAAAAACAGTTTGAAGTGGAACTAGATGGCTTGAGGCAAACCATTTTGCAACTTGAAGCTGAGAAGTTAGATTTGCGTGATCGCATCCAGAAACTTAAGGATGATCTCAGCTCAACTACTTTGCAGCTGTTTGAGGTGCAAAAATTTATGAGGCCCATTGGAGGACGACCTGGACTAAAAACAGAGCCTGCTACTGCAGACTCCTGGCTTTCGGATATTGGTCATTTGATTGAACAACCAAGTTTCAACCAGTTCTATCAGCAGTGGGTGAGGTTTGCTTCGCAAGAAATCACCTTTGCCTTGTGCAAACAAGATCAAATGAACGCAAATCGGATACTCAGCCATTGTGAGTGGGTCGTGCACAGCCTTGGTCGTAAACATCCTGTTGTCTACAAGATTGGGATTACAGAGAATGTCATTGACCGTTGGTGCAACAAGCCATATTGCTACAAGAGTGATAAAGCTGATGTGTGGCACGGCATGGTTGTGCTTTTTGTGGGGGCTGACAGCCTGACCTGCGGTATGGTAGAGTCTTTCTTAATCCATCGTTTCTTGGGTCGCAGTGGCTGTAGAAATTCGCAGCTTGGGGGGGAAACAGCCAAGCCTTCTTGCAATCTGTATTTCACATATTGTGTGTACAGAATTCTTGCGCCTCCTCTCAAATGATGTGCACAGAAACTGTTGGCAACTTTCTGCATAGAATTGCTTCTGGGCGGAGGGTCGCGCAATCTCTATTTACCATGTCATTCAACAGAAGTCATGGAGAAAACGTTGGCGCTATACAAAATGGCAATGGTTGATGTCGACCTGACAGGAGAACTTGGTTTTCACTTTTTTTGGTTCAATTATGACAGAAAAGGGTTTGGGGTGACAAATGTGTGCGCCGGACTGCGTCGGATTTCATCGGAAAACCGGAAATCCGCGCCGGAAAACCAGAAATCCGCGCCGGATTGCGCCGGATTTTTTTCCGGCCATTTTTTCATGGTTTTT